ACGAAGAACGGAAAACGTATTATGGGGCCCAAGGACCCTATTTATAGTGATGACGTGGAATACCAAACGTCACCTCGTTTAGCCACGGACTCCGTCCCCTCGACGCACTGCACCCAACGCAATGATGGCCCTACCCCCTAGGGTGGCGGCACAATTCCCAAAAGATGCCTCGCGTGCCCGACCAACGTGCCCGGTACGGATCCTCCACGCATCCATCACCGAGGACGTTCCCGAGCACGACACGAGGAGGCCCCTCGAGGGCCCGCGCCTCCATTCCGGGCACGAGACCTCAGCGACTGAACAACTTGGTTTCAAGTCATGGCTCCTCGCAAAGGAACCACGACTTGGGGGGCTCCTGTTCTGGACTGGGCCCGACAGGCCCAAAAGCATTACTAAGGCCCAGTCCAATGGGACTCACTAAGGACCACAACGTCCATGCCCGACACCCTGATGTCCACCTCGACATCTCAGTGTCCAGCCCACGCGTCGAAGTCACGCTCGACAGACTGCCGTCCAGCTCTATGCCCTGGCTTCCAGCTCGACATTCGCTGTCCAGCTCGGGGTCTTGGCGTCGAGCTCGACAACATGCTGCACTGCTCGACATGGACTCGAGCTACCTTGCTAGGGCAGACTCAGTCACCATTGCCCCAACGATACTCCGTAAAGACCGCGTCTCTGTCCGCCCGCACTTCACGCAGCACCTTCAGGAAGGGGACCACGCGCTGATCCCCACTACCCACGTAGAACCTGGCAGTTCCTCCATTGGGCCAAATCCGCCCGGCCCAATGAAGGGACCTTGGCCCAGCGCTGGGGGCTATAAATACCCTCTGTTTCCAGAGGGTCAGGTAATCATCATTTCTAACCTCAACTCTATTATCTGCTAGTACTCCCACTGACTTAAGCATCGGAGTGCCTTGCAGGTACCCCCCCCCCCCTCCTCGTTCAAAAAGCCTTCAGCTCGGAGCAGCCGTGACGGTCCAAACCTTCTGATCAGGTCAGATCAAAAAGGGTGCTTGCACCTTCCCTTTTCATAATCTACTCCCCGAACCCAAGAAAACATCTCAAAGGTCTTTCCTGTGTTTTTTGACCTTTCCTTAGGATAAAATAAAAAGTCGGTGGCGACTCTTGCTAAACTGAAACATTTGCAAACACAAATGCAAAACCTCAAGTCAGTTCTCCCACCGTATCACAATCTCCCTATTGAAGAAAACTTGTAGAGAGCTGGAAGACACTATCAGAACTAACACAGCAAGAAAGACTAAGCTTTAGGATTTCATTAAAGCATTAATGGAGGAGTCAGAAAAGGAAGTTGAGGCTGCTGATGGTGAAGGAAACAATGTATGTGATGCATATGATAAGAACTCGTCTAATGATGATACCACTACAACTGATGAAGAGAGTGAAGAATATGGCTCTGAGGAGGAGGGTAATATCGATGTTGCTGGAGCATGAAGACTGATATAGTTTGTTTGGCTTGTTTTTCTTTGCAACTTTTATTTTGGTTTATGATTATGTAAGGGATAAATGTCCAGGATATTTTTGAATGTTTGCACCCTGACTCTATAACTTTAGGTGTTTAAATTTTTTTGCTAATATTGTCTGCTTACCTTTGTCACATTATGGCTACAAAGGGGGAGGGGGGGGGGGGGGGGGGGGGTAGTATGATATTGAAGGTGTTGGAGCTGACACTTTTTAAGGGGGAGAATTATGTGATTCTTTATTTTGTGATAATAGATATTGACTTGAGGGGCAGTTCCTACTGTTTTGAAGAGATGTCAGACATGATGTCTTGACGTTATGGTGTGAGAACTTATGTGTTCTCTATTTTTGGTGTAGTTGCGTTAGTAGATTAACTAACTACTAACTATGTGTGTGTGCTGCTAATTTATGTGCTGCTAACCTTACATATGTATTTTTCCGCTGTTATTGTACCTGTGATGTGTATGTTTGATTTATTTTTAAACATATTTTTATGCAAGGGTTGCTTAAGTGTTTTAGCCAAAATATGTCAAAGGGGGAGATTGTTATTTCTCCGAAACTATGATTGATTTACATTTTGGTAAAACCATTTTAGCAGCAACATGTTGAACAAGATGTTCCAAATTTTTGTTTTCAACATGTCGAGAAGGATGTCCCAACAAGAAGTTAGGATATAGCGTCTGAGCAAGCTGACAATGTGGATCAACTGGTTTTTAACTATTGGATATTCAGGGAATATTCAGTTAGCTTATGTGGCATCAAAGATTGACAAATCAGATTATTCTTTGATTGGTTTTCGAAGATTTGATTAGTTTCTAAATATGGAGATTTATTAGAAAACTAATGATTGAAGACATATTTTCTTGGAGGACTTCTTGCAGACTTTGTGCAGCTCATTGCTGCAGTTTTGAAGCCCAACCCAATCTAGAATAAAGTTATAAATAGACTCGTGTATACCTAGTATTAAGTGGAACTTACGAATGTATTTGTGTTAGGATTTTTAGAATCCTTATTGTTGGGTTGTAAGTTTCATGTTAGATGTTCAGAAGCTTTTAAATATTGAACATATTATATGTCAAAGTCTTGCGTGTTTTGCATAAAACTTAAAAAATATTCTAATTTGCAGAAAAGTTGGTAACATGTGAGCATGGTGATATGTTCTCCAAGGTAATGTCGATCTCAGTGTTCTTTTTGGTGTCTTGTATAAAGGAACATGCATACTATTATTTGCTGCAGGTTGCCTTTGTAAGGTTCCAGTTCCAGCATAAAACTTTAACACTCATTATAGTCCCAATACGCCAGCTTATGTAAGAATAAGAGTTTATAAATAACTTTATTACAACCTATCTCAATTTATTATTAATTAGGCTGATAAGAAAAAGAATATGGGCTATTTAGGTCCAATTATAATATTTTAATAATTAAATAATATATAAATTAATTAAGTATATTATTAAAAAAATTATTAAACATTATAATTAAAATTAAAATTCGAAACATTAAAATATTAAAAAATCAATCTTTATTATAATGTGGCAGTCAGAGGGTATTTGAGAGAATTTGGAACTAAGTTCTCTCAAATTCTAGGTGAGGACTTAGTAGTTGTAAAAAAAAACTTTATTAGGAACTAAAATCAAATCTGATCGCAATTTAATCTTAACCTTTCTTTTTTAAATCGAATGATTATTATTCATTCTCATATAAATTATTCATTCACATTTTATATATATATATATATATATATATATATATATATATATATATATATATATATATATATATATATATATATATATATATATATATATATATATATATATATATATATATATATATATATATATATATATATATATATATATATATATATATATATATATATATATATATATATATATATATATATATATATATATATATATATATATATATATATATATAATTTCCTTAAAAAACAATTATTTCAATTCATAATTATCTCAACAATATAAATTATATTTGTAACAATCAATAATCATCTCAACACCACATAATTATCTTAACAATATGAGTCATATTCAACTTATTCAAATATCATTACAAAATATCCTTATTTATTGTCTGACAATAACTTGAATAATATTAACTTTAATAAATAAGTACAAAAATCCATCACATTCATAAATTATCTTTTTATATAAATAAAATCAAATAATATAAAGAAATTTTCCTTCTAATAAAATTATACTATTTTGCTGTTAATTGAATATAATTGAACAAACTGTTACTCCACTTTGACAAATATGTCACAATTTCTTTCTCTAGGTCATATACATAGTAATTATAAAACTAAGTAAAACGACATAAATTCTATGCGACCAAACAAAACAACATTGTAAAACAAAAACAATGTCCTAGGTTTGTCCTTGTTAGTACAGATGTATCGCAGAAAAGAAAGCACCTGTTTTATAGTCAACAGACAAGAGAAAAATTAGGATTTATTAACAAATAAATAAACAAATATATTATTTCCATACATACACATAATTTTATAATTATAATAATCAGAAATTTGATTTTGACTAAACTATTATAATCAGAATCGAAACAAAGGTATTGTCTGGTTTTTTTGTGTTTCATCTATTTTGAAACGGTCTCTCTCTCTCTCCTCTCTCACTTGCGCAATATTTTAGGGAAAACACCCATTCCTTTCTGTGATCATAATCGTTGTTTTTTTCATATTTTGGGTTTTTATACAAGCTGGTTTTGTTTTTTTTTGTTTTGTTTTTGTGTGATTTTCTCCTTCAAAATCGCTCCTTTACCAATTCCAGTTTCATATATCATATAATATGAATGAACAAAATGTGATGTTATGTTAGCATCTAAAACAACTTTGATGATAATGATGATTATGATTATGATGTTGTTGATGATGACAAATTCTTCAATCTCCATTTTGTCTCTTGTATCAAAAACCACAACTTTTGATTCTTAAAAAAAAGCTAAAAAGGTATCCAAATCCCACTCTTCACGCACCGACCCTTTCCTTTTTTTCCATAGCCTAAAAAAAAGTCAAATTTTCCGTCTATTATGTGCAAGCATAGCGTAATTCTTAATCTGATTTGTTTGTTTTTTTTTTTTTAAAATTTATTTCTTGTTGCTTTGATTCTTCTGCTGACAGTTTCATAGTTACTAGCATCTTTTAAGGTTTGTGCTTTGCATATACTTTTTTTTTTCTCATTATAAAAATTTGATTTTTATGCCTCATTCATATTGGTCATGGAATAGTTTAAGATGGGGAAAAAGCTTTACTTTTTATTATTCATTTAGTCAATCAAACAAAATGGTTGCTGAGGAAAAAATATTCTGGGTTTGGACTTTGAATTGAATCATGTGATGTGAAGTCAATTTTTTAGTAAGAATATATCAAAGAACATGCTTTTGAGGTGCTTTTTTGTATAATGATTTTGCTGCTAATTTTTTTTTTTTTTTTTTTTGTGTTTGTGTGAAAAGATCTGATTTTGAAGCTGTGATTGGTGAAGATGGATTTTGAAGGTGGTAGGACACCAAAGAAGGAGATGGAAGGAGAAGGAGGTGTGACGGGTTCGAAGATGAAGGGTGCTGGAAATCAAAGTAGTAAAGATATGATTTTCAGAGCTGATAGGATTGATCTCAAGAGCTTGGATGCTCAATTGGAAAAGCACTTAAGCAGGGTTTGGTCGAGAAATACTAATGAGTCGAAAAGGCCTAAAGAAGAATGGGAGATTGAATTGGCGAAATTGAATTTGAGATATATTGTTGCTCATGGGGCTTATGGAACTGTCTATAGAGGCACATATGATACTCAAGATGTTGCAGGTATATATTTCTTTGCATTATGTTTGTGATTTTTAACTTTTTGGTTTGAAATTGAAGATATGATTCAATGTTTTTTGAATTTTGAATATTGAATGTTGTGTGTTTTTAGTATAAGATTTGGCTGGTTTATTCAGCTTGTGAGTCTGGTGGGAAATGGATTTCCTGCGGTTATAGGTGACGTTGACAAAAAACCTCGGCTAGCATGTTTATTTGAGTTGAAATATGAGGCGTGTGTACGATTTCCATGCAATGATTGCAATGGATTGACTAAGTGAATGTGAGATTCGATTCTCACAACAGCAGGGAATCCGTGTCCGAGTTAGTTTTCACACCAATATATTCGGTCGCTTAAAATGTTAAATTTAATGATTGTTTGAGTTTGTGATGTTGTTAGTTGGAGAACATAATCAATGGAGTAGTTTTTGAAATTAATATTGATTTGTAATGCCGCTCTTTTATGATGAGTTTGAATTGTTCCGACAAACTTTGTCAATACATTTACACAAAACCTCATTTTCTTCAATCTAAATTGATTTTGAACAAAACGTTTTCCAAACACGGTTTATTAGAGCACGTGTTTAAGAAAGATTTTTTTTCATGGTGCCACGATGTTGTTGAGATCATCATATCACGGTTCCAAACAAGGGTAGTATCAATTTTTATGGAAGCGACAAATTTTATCTTTTGCGTTCATGTAATTCTATTTTACCATTTAAACACAGTCAATTCTTCAATCTCACTTTTAAAATATCACTACACACATGAAGACATATTTTCTAATCAGTATGAGCAGTGCAGAATGAAGACATCTTTTCTCTGACATTTGTATCGAGATGTATAATTATTAATAACGTTTGTATCTTGATCTTGATCTTTACAGTGAAAGTGTTGGATTGGGGTGATGATGGTGTTGCCACTGCTGCTGAAACTTCCGCTTTACGCGCATCTTTTAGGCAGGAGGTTGCCGTCTGGCACAAACTTGACCATCCAAATGTCACAAAGGTAATGACTTTGTCTTTTAAATCTTATTTATTGAAATTAATGACTGCTGCATGATACAATATTTCGTATCGATGAATCATGAATAACTTTTCGTATTAGTGATTGTTTTGTATTAATTTCTGCAACAGTTTGTCGGAGCTTCAATGGGAACTTCGAATCTTAAGATTCCTTCAAAAAACTCTACCGACAATCAAGAGACCCTTCCTTCTAGGGCATGTTGTGTTATCGTCGAGTTTCTCACTGGTGGAACGCTGAAACAATACTTGATAAAAAACAGGCGGAAGAAACTTGCGTATAAGATTGTGGTTCAGCTTGCTTTGGACCTCTCCAGAGGGTAGGTCCTTTTTTTCTATTCCTACTATTAGAAACTGCAAATTCAATACTGATACATATAGAATGCTAATTTATTTCCCCTAATATGCAGTCTTAGCTATCTGCATTCGAAGAAGATTGTTCATCGTGATGTTAAGTCGGAGAATATGTTGCTAGATGGTAACCGGAATCTAAAGATAGCTGATTTTGGAGTTGCTCGCGTGGAAGCTATGAATCCAAGTGACATGACTGGTGAAACTGGGACCCTCGGATATATGGCTCCCGAGGTATTGATAGTTGCAACTTACAAATTACTCACATGGTTTAATAGATGGGAACTTGAAGTTGTTATAGGTTGAAATATTAATCTATGCTTTACACAATGTGTAGGTTTTGGATGGTAAACCTTACAACAGGACATGTGATGTCTACAGCTTTGGCATTTGCTTGTGGGAAATGTATTGCTGTGATATGCCTTATCCTGATCTAAGCTTTGCTGACGTGTCCTCTGCTGTCGTCCGTCAGGTATGATTACGATTTCCAAATCACTTGTAGAACATTCAAGTTCATATTTGATGAATGATGCATGAAATTCATCTTGATTATGTTATTGTGCAGAACTTACGACCAGAAATCCCGAGATGTTGTCCAAGTGCATTGGTGAACATCATGCGTAAGTGCTGGGATGGTAATCCGAGCAAACGTCCGGAAATGGAGGAGGTGGTGAGAATGCTGGAAGCACTGGATACAAGCAAAGGTGGCGGAATGATACCGGAAGATCAGAGTTCTGGTTGCTTTTGTTTTGCACCAGCTCGTGGTCCTTAATTTTCCAGAATCCTTGATCAGTTGTTATCTTGTTCAAGAGATGATGTGAAGTACAGAAAATTGGCAAAATCGGTATTTTATGGTTTTGCCAGTTGTTTTACAGTTTTAACAGTTAACATTCTTTTCTTTTCGAACTCGGAAAGAATGTTTGTGAACAGAAAGGAAGGAAATTGTTTTTTATTGTTATTGACATTATTGTTTCTTCAATGCATGAAAAAGGGTTATAGACTTATTGTAGTTTTAAACAAAATCTCTGAGTAGTTATGTTTTTGTGGGGACTTAGTGATAAGTCTAATATGTTCTAGATATAAAGAAATTTAGTCAATGATTTAATATAACATGGGGGTGGTTATTAATTTAGGACCTACATATGCTATCTCATTCTACTTTAATGATGTTTTACAACATACTTGATTAGTCTTCTCACATCCATTGTATATGGTATAAATAATTGATGAAGTCGACATATTAAGAACTCTTGTTACCTACACGCATCTTGCATCTCTATATAGAGGGCTTTAAGGTGAATGTCCCGCATAAGTTGGTAGGACAGGTTGATGGACCTTGCACCCCTAAAGTTTAAAGCTTGCAAAAGTAATTTCTCTTTACACTTCTATGTTTTCTTCTATTTTGACGAAATTTCAAAAATACTTCTTTGTTTCTAGAAATATATCTACTAAGGCATTAAATTTTATTTTTCTAAAAAATTTGTTAGGAGATAAATCTCTAAATCTCTAAAAAATTCGAGGATGTATCTCATAATATATATTTGTTCTAATTACTATCAATTTCTCAATAAAAAAATAGTTTCAATACTATCAATTAAATTATATACTCAATAAATATATATAAATATCCAATAAATTATATACAAAAATATAAAAATGTCTAATAAATTATATAAAAAAATGGTTTTTCAACAATTAAATATTTATATATGTCCAAAAATAATTATTATTCTCTATATTAATGTATATAAATATACATTAGTCAAAAAAATATATAATATAAAATTATATGTGAATTAATAAAGAAAATATAAAATTATAAAATTACATGTGAAATATATATTAGTCAAGAATTATTTCCTATAATAATTATGCAAATTTAACTAATATAAAAATAATTATAGGAAATAATTATTATAGAAAATAATTATATGAAATAATTATAGAAATAATTATTATAGAAAATAATTATATAAAATAATTATGCATTTATATATATTTATTGGGCATATAATTTAATTGATGGAATTGAAATCGTTGTTTGTTGAGAAATTAATGGCAATTGAAACAAATGGTATTTTCGAAGACCCATATTTGAATTGACCTTAAAAAAATTAGAAGATGTATTTCTAAATTAAATTATTGAATTTAATACGTTCGAAGATATATCTTCGAATAAACCAAAGAATATTTTGATATTTTTAGAGGTGTGCCCTAATAAATAAAGGTGTAATATAAAATTGTCAAAATAGTTTTAGTTTAATCTGCAAAAAATACGGACATGTTCAGCGGGTTGAGTCCATTTCGTTACCACTAGAATACTTGAAGTATATTTGGGAATTTCTACACCCTTATATGGGTGGAAAAAAACTTTTGAAAATTTCAAAATACCTTTCGAATATGCATATTTAAATGAATTTCTATATTTCATTTTCAGGAATTTTTCGGATATGTACATCCGAAATAACTCAATATTTTGTCTTTAGGGGATTTTCGGATATGCATATTCGAAATAACTCAATATCTCAATTTTACTTTGAATTTAATTTGTAATTATTCTAAATCTGAATGATATTTATTTTAAATACATATAATTTTGTTGCTCTTATTTATTTAAGGTTTGTTTTTAATATATTTAAAAAGAAATAATTATAATTTTAAATTAAGTTAAGAATTAAATCAAAATATAAAAAATCATATACTTTAAAGTATAATTTCTCCACTTTGTTTAAAAAATAAAGGTTATATTATAAATTTGTTCTAGTTATTTATATAAATTGTATGAAAAAAACAGGAAGAAGACAATAAAATTGCTATTTTAATTTGGGATAATTTTAAAAGAATACAATAAAGTTGCATAGGAATTTTAAAATTTAAATGATTTATTTTAAATAAGAATTACTATTGTAATGTATAATTTATTTCTAATATACTATTTTGATAAATTATTATTTTAAGAAGTTAATAATAATTAGAAATTTTAATTTTAATTTTAAATGGTATGTTTAATTCAGATATGTATATCCGAAAATGCTTTAAAATAAAATATTAAGTTATTTCAGATATGAATATTCAAAAATCATCTGAAAATAAAATATAAAGGTTCATTTAGATATGTATATCCAAAAACTCCCTGAAAATAAAATATTAAACTCGTTTAATTATACATATTTAAATTAAGGAGATATTATGAGAATTTCATAACCCCTAAAAAAACATAAAGGAAGGTAGATAAAGAAATTTCTTATATTTTTGTGCATCTTTAAATGTATGTTGTTTTGTCATAATAACCATAAATTGTAACAACTTTTCTTGGTTCAAGCCTTTTTTTTATTTAATGGTTCATCGTCACACGCACAAAATAAAACAAAAGAGAGGAAGAAAAGTCGCTCAATGGTTGATATAGTGCATAATAGAAAGAAGAGAGAAGTATCTGATATTCAACTTTCACTGTGTCATCATGATTAGGTGTGACAAAGCAGGCAGTCTGTCCCGTTTAAACCCATCTAAAAGTGAGACGAGACGGGACGGGCCAACTTAGACGTCCGAGTTCAAAAATCAATCTCGTTCCGTTTACTAATGAGTTGGTGGGTTGACGGACTGATCCGCCAATTTTTTATTTTTTTTATTTTATAATTTAATTTACTACATAATTTAGAAAATTTATAATTATTACTAAAGAGGTCGACAGAAGAAATTTTTTAACAACACATAATAGAACTCAACATGTCTTAAGTCCAAACAATTCAAAAAGTAAAATAAATAAAGATCAATTACAACAAAATAAACAAAATAAATTCAAGCACAATTAAAAAGGTATCAAAATAAATAAACAATACATATCATCCTAATCCTATTTAAAAATTAACTACTAAAAGAACCCAATTTAGAATTTACACAAAACCAACAATGAAAACAATTACACGGCATAAAACATCACAATGCATAAAATAGTAGTGTATAAAATATCTACATCGAATTTTTTCACTATTTACATCATATAGACTCTTATCTTGACCGATTTCTTAATAGTTAAATCCTAAATTTGTCACACGTATACATTAATCAAATCCTTCATTTTCTTAAAATCAACATCTATTTCTAAAGAAAATATATGAGTTAATGTATTGACAATTTAATAATTCTGCATGTCATACCATTGTTATTTTATTTCAATCTTTTCATTCTAACGCATGTGTTGTACTCCAAAATTTTCTCTCACTTTTCTCAAGATATTTCTCACAAAAGATCTCAAATGCTCAAGGATTCTCAAAGAATTGATCAAACAGGCTCACCTCTTAAGCACTAAGACCACAAATTAGGGTTTTGGTTTTCACAAGGAAATTTGGACTTCTAATGCCTCAAATGACTTTCATGGTTCATCATAGATCTCCAAGAATACTCATGCCAAGTTTCAAGTCTTGCATCTCAAAATTGCTCAGTCAATTACTCAGATGATTGAAAATCAGTTGTATTGGGTAAAAAGTCAACTATGGTCAACCTACAGTCAAACTTCTAGATTTTTAGCCAATATCAATATTTTGAAGTCATATTCATCAATTGATCAAGGATTTATCACAATTTCTCAAGAAAAAGCATTCAAATCATGAAAGGGGCAAACATTGTCAAAATTAGTGTTTTGACTGAGAATGACTGATCATTGACTTTTGACCTAATACATGACTTAATGGCTTGAAGTATGATCTTAAGGATTCAAGAACAATATACTGACCTAATTTCATGGCTCAAATTATTTCTCAAGATCAAATGATTGATAGTTGAAATTTGGATCAACTGATGAAAAGTCAACGGACACACAAAAAGTCAAACTTTGACTTTTTTGTCCACATTGAATTTCAAAGATCAAGATTCATTAAGAAATTCAAAAATATGAAACTTGATCGTAAAGAATCAAGAAATTCAAGAAAAGTCAACAAAAAGTCAAGATTTCCAAGACTTAGAAAAATTCTAAGTGTTTTTAACCTTGATAATTTCACTACTTCGTGACTATTTTTCACTATGATGCAAGACGATTCAAGAAAAAATTTCAACATGAAAGTTGTAGATCATGATGAATTCTATAACTTTATCCTTGATGGTTGATGTCTAAAAAATTCTTGGATTAAGAGATATAGGCCCATGAAGTCATGACATTTTTACTAAAACACTTAGTGAAATTTTCAACAAGTTTGGTCAGATTTTTTGTCCCAACTTCTTGGCCAATTTTCACCTAGTTCTAATTTGATTTAGCCAAAATGGTCAACATGATAGTTGTATACAATGTTCCAAGCTTTCCAAAATGTCCAAGAACTCGAAGAGATCATGTTTGAGCTAGGAGAATTGAAGAGAAGAAGTTGGGAACTCATTCTTAAATTGTAGGTCATTTTGATGATGAACACTTGATCAAATCTCAAAGACATGCTACATAAATCTTGATTTGCCGGCTTCTAACTTGCAAATCACTCCATAATTAATCATTTACATAACTGTTAGAGCTATGATACAAACATTTGAGCCATTGTTCAAGAGATTCATCCATTTTTGGCCTAAAGTAACATTGCCATTCTTGTAAAGTTGCTTTAATCACAAAGTCAACTTGTTTTGAGCTTCTAAATTGTTTGTTCTGAACACACTCAACATACAAGATTAGATAAGCATGTTTAAAGCCTCTAACTACTCTAGATTTATTTGTACTTCACATTGGGACAATGTTTGTCAAGTTTGCTTCAAAAACAAGTCACATAACCATGACATGTGATTTCTTGATTATGA